TTACAGGTCTTGATGGTTCAGTTGGAGAAGCAAAGGATAATGGATACTATGGTTATGGAACAGACGTTCAGTACCCGGTAATCAAAAATTTCTTGTGAAGAAATAATTAATTACATCGATGAATCGAGTTTTTGCTTGACCATTTTCTCGATCTTGATTTTAAAGGTTATGCAAGGGGAAAATGGATCTTTGATCTACATGATGCCAGGGTTTCAGTCTTATGATGCTAGTCAGGCTTACATGCCTATAAGCCCGGTTGGTGTATCGAGCCAGGCACTTCATTCGCCGATGTATGCACCTCAGGGATATTATCAGAACCAGTTTGGTTATGGAGATGTTTCATCGCCGTCGTATTTATGGGATCCTGTTGGAGACAAGTATGTGTATGGTGTTGCTTCACATACACAACACTTGAAACAGAACATGTCTTCTTCAAGCCATAACCATAACAATTATTATCCAAAGAGCAAGAACTCCTTCACTGGTCACGGCATGGGAGATCGTTCTAAAACACCGCGAAAAGTAACAATTTATCTCCTTAATTCTTCACTCTTTCTCATTTCCTAAGAAGACTTGACTGATATTTTTGGGTTGATGTTGTATGGAATACAGAACAGCTATGCTCCACTGCCAATGCATAATCAAGACAGAGGTGGACTTGCATACCCTATTGATCCGGTAAAGAAAAAGTCTGGAGCTTTGAATGCGGATGAATCAGAGAAGGCGAAAGCGAGGAACAAAGAAAATGGTAATAGCAAGAGTGACTTAGCAAATGGTCAAGATCATATTTCCAATGGAGAATGTGAGTCCTGTTCGTTGGATGTTGAAGGAAATGAAAGAAGCAACGGTGTAGGTTCTGGTGTAGGTTCTGTTATTAGAAGGGATCAATATAACCTGTCTGACTTTCAGACTAAATACGAGGAAGCAATCTTCTTTGTGATAAAATCTTATAGCGAAGATGACATTCACAAGAGCATCAAGTACAATGTCTGGTCTAGTACTCTCAATGGGAACAAGAAGTTAGACAGTGCATATCAAGAATCTCAGAAGAAGATTGCAGAGAAAGGTGGAAAGTGCCCGGTTTTCCTTTTCTTCTCGGTAATGGACTAATATCTCCGCGGTATTTGTATTCAATGCGGTATTTTCACTCCTTCTGATCGGTTTTATTGGATTCAGGTGAATGCAAGTGGCCAATTCTGTGGTGTAGCTGAGATGATTGGGAGAGTAGATAATGAGAAAAGTATGGAGTTTTGGCAGCAAGATAAGTGGACCGGCTATTTTCCGGTCAAGTGGCATATGATCAAAGATGTTCCAAATCCGCAATTACGACATATAATACTAGAGAACAATGAGAACAAGCCTGTAACCAATAGCAGAGACACACAGGAGGTAAAACTGTTTCTCTGAGACTAAGGAAAATGAAACCATTGTCAAGAACTCATCTCATACAGTTTTAAAACATTTTCCTTCATATATATAGGTGAGGTTGCCACAAGGGAATGAAGTGTTGAACATCTTCAAGAACTATGCAGCAAAGACATCTATATTAGATGATTTCGATTTTTACGAGAACAGAGAGAAGGTTATGGTACAGAAGAAGCTAAGGTTTCCTCCAGCATTGAAGGTGTTTTATGTTTCTCCTCTTTCGATCTTGCAATCAATCCTCTTTTGGTTCTATTCTAACGAGAATTATTGGTTCTTTCTCTCTTATGTCTTTGATTACAGAAGAAAGAAGATGATTTGGTTGCTGATTTCCAAAAGATGGAGATATCAAATACAGTCAAAGAGAGTGGAAACACAGACTTGACCGAGACTGTGAACTAACTAGAAGAAGCTGTAGTGTTTTTGGTTTGGTTTCTTTTAAGGATCAATATAAAACCATCCGATTGTTTCGGATTTGCTTTGATTTTATAACAAGCGAGTTACATCTTATTCCATTGTTTTGTGGTATGGTGTAATGTTGGTTTTTTTTTTTTGTGGGTTTGTGTTCATTATATGTTTCGCAATTTGTAATCAATCATTGGCAATGATGATAGGGTTTGATTTTATAGTGAAAAATGAAAATCGAGGGAAAAAAATGGAAAATAAAAAGAGGTTTAGACATTAACCGTCTCTTCTACGAGCTGCCTGGATAAAAAGTTTTGAAGGGATTTAATCGGTGGAAAATCGTTCAAGGGTACCCAAAACAAATCAAGGCTGGTTCGGGGGTGGTCCACGTCCACCACGCGTGGCTCGGCCACCTCGAGTAAGCAATCGATTACCTCCTCGAAGGTTTACTATAGGTCGACCACGACCTCTGTTGGCTGGATTAGGAGCTCGGGTTCCTCCTACAGTGGCTACTCCCGCTTGTCTTTTGGCTGCATTCTCTTTTGCTCTATCAGCTAGTGTCACAAGCCTACCACTTGGTGATGGCGATGGCGCTCTTTTTGTTTCTTCAGTTTCTGGAGTTTCGGTTTGAGTGATAGCGGAAGCTGGAGTAGAGGAAGTGGATGGGGTGGTAGATGCAGAGGAGGTTGTAGCTACTGCGGTCTCTGGCTTGATATCAGTTTCTGCTGCTTGTTGTTCATTACCATTGTTTGGTTTATCAGAGGCTTCTTCAGCTACTACATCACCGCCTTCATCGTTCTTATCATCTTCTATTAGTGGTTCAATGGCTGTTTCAGCTTCCTCCATTGCTGTCTCTATCCTACTAGGTGACTGTGTGGGTGTACCTAGCGTCTCAGGCTGCACTTCTTCTTTCTCTGGACTCCTCATCATGTTTGCTAGATCCGTAGCCTCGTCGAGATCTTCCAGCGTATCTAGTTCGAACTCTCCTTCTTCTTTATCGGATTCCATATCTGTCCCAAGTTCTTGATTCTCTTGCTCTGATTGATCCCTTGGCTCTTCTTCGGTAGGGATGGTTTCAGTCTCGGTTAGATTTTCTTCCACAGGTTCATCAGCTTTATCCAGCACTTCAGCTTCATTTTCTTGTTGTGCTTCCACAGATTCTTCAGTTTTCTCCTCCGCAGTCTCAGCTTCTATTTCTTCATTGTCACCATCTGCGGCAGTGGTAGCATCCATCGATTCATCAATGGCTGGCTCTTTTGAGAGGTTTTCGTCTTGGGGAGAAACATCAGGTTGTGACTCGGATCCTTTTGACCTCTTTGATGCAGGTGGTGCAATTTCGGAACTGGTTTCCCCTTGAGTCTCTTGCTGTTGTTCAGAAGCCAACGCATCAGCCTGGCGTTTACGGACATGTGTTTGAACAGGTGGTACAATTGTGGTTGCTTGGGTCTCTGTTTCATGGGAGGAAGACTGTTTTCCTTCATCACCAGCCCCCTCAGCTTCTGGCATCTCAACATCACCTTGGGGATTGGGAAGTTGGGGACGATTAATAATCCTCCTACTCGGTCTGCGAAGCTCAGCGCTTTGTTTCTGTAGAGTCAATCTCTTCTCTTTGTTAATGTCTAACGCTGCTCTGGGTGGCTGCTGGGTAGTTGCCACCAGAGCTCTTGAAGTCGTGGAAGGAGAGGCTCTCGCAATGGCTGAAGGCTCAACTGTACCAGGGGAAGGTTCACTCACCGTATCAGTAGAAGTTGTGCTACCTTGAGAATTGAGGACAATAGTACGAGCCATGCGTTCAAAATAGTCTACAGCTGATACGTAGGCAACAGCTTGGTCATTCAATATGCTTCCAGAGAGAGCCTGGATAGCTGAAGTACCCTATTGAAAACAAGAGAGGAAGGGTTTTTAGAACATAGGTAAATTAATCAAACGATTTACTTTGTTTAGAACCATATGTATATCCAAAAGACATAAAACTTGTTACCTCAGGAAGATTGCCATCTGCTTGCTTCAATTTGTCCAATTCTTCAGAGAGCTGAGTCAATGCCGTCTGATACCTCTCGAGCTTAACAAGTTCTTCATCCACTTTAGTTTTCTCCTGCAAAACAGATACGGAACACATGAGCTAGAAGATATTGGGTGGGTGTTTTCAAAGCACTAATTTTCCAATAATGCATACACACACGCAAGTTACAGTGGAGAGAGGCAAACCTTTCTAACTTTGGTCAAGGAGTCTCCAAATGCCTTCTCAACAGACTTGCGTTCTGTTTTCTCTTTAGTTAA